GCCCCCCCCCAGCCGATCTATATCCTTCCGATGTTGTGGGTCCCACAGCTGGATGCAGCACTCCAGGCGGGGTCTCACAAGAGCAGAGTATCTAGGAGGTACATTATCTAGGAGGTACACCTGGAGGGGTGGGGGTGCTTTAGGCTGTGTTCACCTTTCATTGCTAAGCAGAGGCCTTTTTTTTAACCTGTTACTTGCAAGTAATGTTTTAATGAATGAACAAAGGCTAGCCTTGCACCAAACGGGTACTCACCCTGGATATGAACCAGCCTCTGTTGGAACTGTTGCTGCTACAGATAAATCAAGCGACAGCCTGCATTACTATGTGTGATTGCCCACATCCATCAACTACTCTATCTTGTCTAAAATTTTGGCTGCATCTTACAGTCTTTGTTAAATTCATGCTGGGTTTGGCTTTAAACAATTCTCACAGTGGCAAATCCGATGACTGTTTTATGGATGTGAATACTTGTTTGTACTCCAGGACAAAGTGATGGCACACCAAGAGGTGTGGATGTTACTCCAGCAGTGATGCTCTCCCCTTTTTTTCCCCTCCTGTGAGTGAGTGTGTGCATTCTAAAATGGCTGAATCATGCTCTGAAAGCTTAAAAGCTGCAAAAATTTAAGATAAATCCCATTCTTAGAACTAATCCCTGTGACACATTCTGTGTAAAATCAGTATAAAAGCTATTATTTCATTCCCAAGAAAAGAACCAGGGCTTTAAAAAGAGGAGCTATGAAATGCAGCAATCCCTCTGAGTTCTCATCTCTTTTAAGACTGCATGAGCTGTCCCACCGTCAGGTGACCCCCCGCACCCAAGAGCGAAGGAATTCCTAGGTTTAAATGAACCCACCTGTACTGTTGGCACCAAGGCAAGCTCCCAGAAGACAAATGGAGAGCACGAGGGAGATATTTGCCATCTTCTTCCCGCCGCCCAAACCTCTCACTAACAAATTGTTCGGGTGGTAGAGCTCAGTCAATAGTTCCAAAGTGCAAGTGCTTGTTTGTTTACCCTGGGTAACCCTTTAATTTAAGGTCCCCAGATGTGCCATTGGTGAGGCTTGCGAGGGTGACATGGGTATTATACGAGAGGTCACATCCACGTACAAGAACCTGTTAGTAGTTGCAGTCCTCGGGCTCACCTTCTGCCCTGTAGGATGTTGCTGCCGTGTTTGGGGGCTGAGCACATCACACAAATAAATTAATTCCGCTTCAGTGAAACTCTTTAAAGCCTGGATTTCCCATTCCTGTCCAGGTGATGCTCCTGGCCATATGAAAGCCCACAGAGCATTTTGAAAGGTGCCAGTCCATATTTCATCCAAAAGAGCTGGCACAATTCTTTGAAGATGACCCCTACAGATGATGCTTCCTTTTGGGGACCGGGCACCCTCGGAGCAGGGCTGCGTCAGCCAGCACTGCACAGTCTGACACAGGTTATCTAATGGAAAACCTGGATGAGATGAGGTGATACTATTGGTCCTTTACCCAGATCTGCTGGAGTAAACCCTGGAAACACCATGATGTTTCCTAGGTCCTGTACTTGAGGGCACAGGAAGGAACCTACTGCTAAGTGGTGTGGACAGTGGGATGTGCTGAGCAGGGGGAGTGTGCAGGCTCCTGGCACGGCAGCCTTTGCCCAGGGCAGTTCTGCCCAGCCTGCTCCTGATCCACACTGGCCAAAGTTTGGACTGAAAGGGAGGGAAGATGGGGGAAAAGAAATAGGAAGAAAAAACAGGTTTTCCTACAGAAAAGAAAGAATGGGTTTTCATATGAAACCGTTCATGTTTAATTGTGGGTTACTTACTACTTTTAAAACCTGTTTCTTCCCTTCTTCTGATTCTCTTTCAAGGTGAGTAATTGCTTTTGGGAAAATACTGTGAAACAAATAAATGAAACATTCATTTCTGGAAAGGTCAAAAATCTCTCCCCCCCTGCTTCTTTCCTTGAGGAGCTGTAGGGTAAGTAGGTCAAAATCATTCCTCCTGATCTGTGAGGGGGGGCTTGGGGGCTTTCTGTCATTGACCTGTTCCTCAAAACCTGCTTCCTGGTTGCTGTTTCTCCCACCGCTCCCCCATGCACAGGGCAGAACTGAAATCCATCAGTGCAAGTGTGCACTCGGCCCAGCAAGAGGGTCTCAGACAGAGGCATTTTGAAGCAGGACTCCATTTCTGAGTGTGGTGTTGGTGCTGTTCCCTTTTGGCATTAGCTCTGATACTCTGGTTTTTTTTTGAGGCTAGCGGGCTCTGATGGCTTGTCAAAGCAGAAGAGCTAGAAGAGAGGAGCTGGTGGGTTTTACTAGTTCCCAGCAGAGCAAGATGGATATTCTGCTGTCACCAATGGGAGAGCATCCCAGAGTGTGCTTCGTGGCGCCGCAAGCGCTCGCGAGCAGGCTAACGCCATCTGTCGAGACGCAGGGCATGTGCCGTGTTGGATGCGCCTCTGTCTCGCAGGCTGGAGAGCTATTAGTTGCTGTGAGGCTACAATAGCCTTTGGGTAGTTGTTAAAGCATTTGCTTGAGCTTATGAACCATAAATTCTGTGCACTCAGTCCAAAAAATTAAAAATGTTCCTTCGTGCAGCAAATGAGAGAGACGTTTATAGTTGCGTGGGTATTTGGAGTTGTTTTTGTACTCGGAATGGACCGATCAGCCACAGGTAAATATGAGATATTGAACGTGAGTTACAGCATTGTAAGGTCCCTGTTGCTGAGGTGGAAAAAATCCTTTATTTTCTCTTTCTCGAGCAAACAAAAGGTCCTGAAACCTATAATTCATCTTGTTTCTTCTTGGTCCATTTGAAATGATCTTTATTCATCACTGACAGTAGCTCTTGTTATCAAATTTCTGTGGTAGATAAATGAGTTAGGATGAGGTAATGTGCTGTTGATGTAAATTGAATGCAAAGTGAAGAAGGTAATGATCATCTCTCATTTTCTGTGCATAAGAAAATGCAAATGTGAGAAAATAAATTGAGCTAAAATGCTGAAACAATACATCTCCTATCAAAAAGAGAAGTGCAGAGAATGGCCTGCCATAACAAAGGATAATTAGAATCTCATTACTGTAAATATTTTACTTTAGAACATAGGTCAGTCAAATTATTTTTTAGTTTATGGCACATATTTCACTTGTAATAGTATTCACAACAATATAGCTAATTAATCTTTGCAGAAAATGCCAACCTCATTAGAATAAATAAGACTATTAATACAAACAATTTCTATACTTTACTACTAGTGCTGTCAATTTCTGGGGTGCTAAATTGAAAGCGAAGTGTTTCTTTATATTTATTTCACAAACAACATCCCTGGAATTGCGATCCCCACCATGGGCACTTTAGACAAGAAAGCTTTGCTGTTCAGGTGGATGACATCAATTAAATATCAGATCTGGGATTATTTTGACTTAGTGTTTACATTCTCAGAAGAAAGCTGTTTAAAATACACAACCAAGGCCTGTTCCTTCCTATTAACAAGGCATTCTATAGCAATGAGCTGTTAGGAAACACCACTTCTGTTTTGAGGTGTTAGGTTTGGGGTTTTTTTTGTTGAAATATCCCTTTTTTGTTGGAACAGAACCGTCACAGGCATGTGGCTGCTGTGTGTGTTTGTGTCAAAGGCAGAAGAGCTGGCAGGGGTTCAGGGCAGCGTGTTCCCAGCAGGGCCACCACCTCGAGCTTGGGGACAGCCCGTCTTTTGGAAAAGGTTTTGGTGGCAAAGTGAAATGAAGTTTATGAGAAGTCAGAACAAGAAAGCAATTTCCATTTTAATCCGATAGATTTTTTTTTTTTTAAATGTGCTCTGGCTGCACTGATCAATAATGTTAAACGGCTTGATGGCTTGAGGATCTTGTTAAAGGATTGTTCATAATCTCCCTTGTCTCCAAATGCACTTTTTTAAGCAAAAAATCCTCGCTCAAAACCTTAAGCAAATTGCAATTTCCCCTTGTCCGCTAGACAGCTATGGTAAGTAATCTTACCTTAACCAACAGCAAACAAGATATTTCTGGAAAAAATAGGGAAAGTAATGCTTGATCTTTATTTTTTTTCCCCTTCTTTATGTGATTACTTTGAAGTTCCTGGCTTTTTTCTAGAGCAATGACTGTGGGAAGCTATCCAAATATAGAGGCAGCATAGCCACGGAGTCCTTTGCAGTGCCTATCATTCTGTTGTAATGATTAACATACTGGAGAAAGTACCAATTCTGTTAAAAGTCCCATAGTCACTAAGGTCCTAAGGTGTATTTTGGATGTCAGTGGTGTTAGTGACCTACCCCACGTGAGGCTATGCCCTCAGCTTTCACAGGTGAGTTGCAGAAGCCTTGTCCCCATGGTGGTGGCTGTGGGCTGGTGGGATCACAGGCGCAGGGAGAGGCTGATGAGGACTTCGTGTCTGTGCTGTGGGAAGGGTATTCGGGCCAAAAGGAGGTGTCTGGCTTTGGGGATGTGAAATGGCAGCCAGGACCAACTCTTCAGTGATGGCAGCATGCAGTTTGTGCAGGAGCAGTGTTGGCTCGTAGCTATTCCATCTCTGAAAGCCTCTCCCCTACTCCCTCTATCCATCTCAGGGCTTTCAGTTCTGGCACTGGGCATTTTTATTCTGCTTTTATGCAGAGGCTACAATACTTGTGCCAAGAAACAGGCTCCTCTTGCTGAATTCCCTCCAGGCACATCCATCGCAGTTACCTCTTAAGCTCTGTCCCTCCCATTTTATTCTGGTTTTAATTAGACTCCTGAACAGGAGCACAGAGCAAGCTCTGCTTTCATCTGGGAGATCCTGTGGCTGTGAAATATTTACGGGAAGTAAATAACTGTCAGAAAGTAAATAAGTCCCTGACTCTACATGAGTGTAAAAGTGCTTTGAAATAGTCTCATTCGAATAAAAGCTCCTCATGTTGAGTGGCAGTAAGAAACAGCAAAACAGGCAAAAAATTCCCAATGTAGGAGGTAAACACAATTACTAATTCATGGAGCAGCACGTTTCACAGTAGCAGCTTTAATATCTTTCTTTTCAGTTTGATTTAAAGTAGGCCAGATAAAAAGGAAATCCGGATTTGGTTTGGTCATTGTCTTCTCTGAAAGCAGAGTGCATGCGTGGCTACACGCACTGTGTTGCTGAAATTACTCTAAATTTAGACTTTGCCATCTCCACTTTTAACTCTGGACAAGGCAATGAAACAAAGCTCAGAGAAGGCAGCGGCTCTTGCAGGTTTCCATGGGTCAGGTAGATCATCAAGCTCAAACATCATCATACAGAGCAAGAACTAAGTTAAATATAAGCTCAAAAGCCGGCTTGCCACTGCCTATGGGATAGGGGCTTGTCCTGCCCTGGGCCTGCTGATGTGAACTTGGGTTCTGCAGGTTGCTGTGAAACAGATCTCTGAAAGATGTTTCTCTCTCCTCCAGCAAACCCATTGCTCCCATCTGCTGATGGTATGAGTAGTGTAGTCTCCTAGAGACATACTCCTGGACCAGGACTCTGCTCATAGAGACAGGTTAACTCCACCAGCGGTGTCCAGCTAAGCAGAGGGAGCTTGTTTCTTCTTCACTCACCAGAGAAAATTCATCCTACCTTGCTCTGACGCCTGTTGTTGGAGGGTGGAGCTGTCTCTCGCTCTCCTTTCTGTTGACTGGAAAAGGAGCCTTGATTAACAGCTTATGCTATATGTCAAACTTTATTTTTGGATAGTTAAAATTGGACTGAAATATGTCTCAACCAGCACATCCAAACCTACAATAGTCAAAGCCATTGCACTTAACTCCTTACTGAGCATGAAATAATAACATCCACTGTTGTCCCTTTGCCCATTTTCTATGTCAATCTTTGTGACTATACCCTTGTTAATTTTGTTTGCTTTAACCATACTCCATCAGAAGTTTCAGCCTTCTCCTTTTACCGCAGCATCCTTGTGCCCTATTTGCCTC